GCAGCCCATTCCAACGCCCAACAGCCCCTTCTGCACAGAAATCCTTCCTCAGAGCCAGCCTGACCCTGCCCTGGGCAGCTTGAGGCCATTCCCTCGGGGCCTGGCGCTGGGGCCTTGGCTCCAGAGACTCATCCCCCCTCTCTGCCCCCTCCTGGCAGGGAGTTGCCGAGGGCCAGGAGGTCTCCCCTCAGCCTCCTCTTCTCCAGACTGAACCCCCCCAGTTCCCCCAGCCGCTCCCCAGCAGACCTGTGCTCCAGACCCTGCCCCAGCTCCGTTGCCCTTCTCTGGCCACGCTCGAGTCACTCAATGGCCTTTTTGGGGTGAGGGGCCCAAAACCGAACCCACTCATCGAGGTAAACTCCTACATCCACACCTTGTAGCCGTGCAGCTGTGCACACCCCTACGTTCCACACCTCCACGTTCCACGTTTCTATTTGCACTTAAACCACCAACACCCCCCTCACACACGCAGCTGCACACCCACAAGCACACTCAGCCCGTTCCCATGCAGCCCCACACCCCAGAGCATCTGCCAGGCCAACCTGCAGCCCTGATGCAACTTTTGTGCCTTGCTCCTGGTTCACACCAGAAGTTTTCCCACAGAAAACCCTGCGTGGATTTGACAACGTTCCCCTTGCAGCACGTGCCCCGTCACTCCCCAACACGCCGCCGTCCGCAGCCCACCACAGCCAAAATGCCCCCGCAAGATGTTTGTGCCGCGCACGGGGCTGTGGGTGATTCGAGAAACCCGGGTGCCCTTGCCATGCTGGGGTGGTGGGCGCAGGGCTGGTGGGTGCACTGTGTGCTGGGAGAGGCGCCGGGGGGGAATTTGGGGTGTTGGAGTGTGTGAGCAGGGCAGGGATGGAGGTGTCAGGGACAAGAGGAGGGGGAGAGGCCCCAGGGTTCTCCTTCAGTGGCTGAGGCGCTCCCACGGCTGCTTGTGCTGCTGGTGGGGCTGGGCCCGCAGCAGGCACGGAGGTGTGTGAGCAGATTCACGTGCACGGGCAGATCCCTGTGTGCAGGGACGGATCCATCTGAATGGATGGACCCATGTGTGCATGAATGGACCCACACATGCATGGATGGACCCACGTGTGCATGAATGGACCCACACATGCATGGATGGACCCACGTGTGCGTGGATGGACCCACGTGTGCATGGATGGATCCATGTGCATGGACAGAACCATGTACATGGATGGATCCACGTGTGCATGGATGGACCCACGTGTGCATGGATGGACCCACGTGTGCGTGGATGGGCCCATGTGTGTGTGGATGGGCCCATGTGCATGGATGGATCCATGTGTATGGACAGAACTGTGTACATGGATGGACCCACGTGTGCATGGACGGACCCACATGTGCACAAGCAGATCTGTTGGGTGCATGGGTGTGCACAGAAGGATCCATGAGTGTGCAGATGGATGCGTGTGCAAGGATGTGCACAAACAGATCCCTCTGGAGATGCATCTGGGGACAAAACCCACTGGCGTTGAGGCGCTGGGCACGCAGAAAGCCCCATTTTCTGCTTTGGGGATTCTCCTCTTTGCTGCCTGTTTGTTTGCAGGCAACTGGAAACGATTAGTTGCCATGAGGTGAGCTGTTGCCTTACCAAGTGTTTGTCATCGCAACAGGGGAGCAGAAAGCAAAATATTCCACAAAACACAACTGGATGCAAGCGGCGGCCCCAGGCTGCGGCTGTGACAAGGGTACAATGACAACCGGGCCGCGTGTCGGTGACAGCCACCACATCCGAGCTTGGAGGAAGCAGTGGTATCTGCTCCCCGGGGCCAGAAATGCTGACGGAGTTTCAGAAGCTGCTGAGGGTTTTTCTTGTTGCTGAGATAACCCCAAGTGAGTGGAGGGCCAGGATCGGGGACCCGGCAGAGGAACGATGGATATTTGGGGTTGGGGAAGAGCCAGGAGCCATCCAGAGGTGGGGACAGCAGTGACAGCCCTGCAATGGCATCAAATCTGCACAGGTTCATGGGTGCCACGTGTCCTTATCACCCATGGGTGGCCCTTAGCCGCTGCACACAGATAAATATTGATGCCGAGGACACAGGAGGAGGAAGGATGCTGGGGTTAAAAATGAGCTGTATTCAGAAAATAACCCTCTTTCTCCCCCCAGATGCCAAGAGATTATTTTCATTTTCCACGATGAGTTGTCCTGGGAGTCTCAGCAGCACCCGGCAGTGGGAAGATGCCGGGGTGGGCACCCAAGGGACACAGCTGGGTGACGCCAGCCCCGGGGGGTGACTCACAGGGACCCCGTGCCAGCACATGAGACCTTTTTTCACCAGCTGTGGACCACACTCCTTCTTATCTCCCGCACACTCATTCCCTCCACTCCTCCTTTTAAGTGACCGGAAAAGTGTCACATCCCCGAGTCATGGGACAAGCGAGCGAGGCAGGGGGACGGGGGACGGACCGATGGCATTGCGCTCGGGTTAATAATCCACCCCCTGTCTGACGGAGGCTGGGAGCAGCAGCTGCCTCTTTTCTTTGGCAGGGAAGTGGCTTCTGCCCCTCCTCCCCTCCCAAACCTGCCGAAATCCCTGAGTCACGGGGCAGAAATAGAGACGACAACAAGAGCTGTGGTGGCGGGTAACAGTGGTGGCAGCTCCCCCGCCCCATGCCTGCACCACAGCTGGTAAAATTGGGGAGGGGGGAAACAACACCTGTCTGTCCCTCTCCCAGTTGCAAACTGGGACCAGTGGCACTCTCACTGCTCTGGTACTGCCTGGGGGCTGCTGTCCTCATCTCCCCTCCAACCATCTCCAAGCCCTGATGCTGTCACCCATGGGGGAAAGGCAGGATGAAGCCGTGGGAGCTCCTGGGCATCCTGGGGGGCTCCCCACATCTGCTGGCCCCCAGCACAGGGGGATGCAGGGATGCAGGAAGGGGGATGCAGATTGCTCCCAGCTCCAAAGGGCCTGGACCAGACACTGGTACCATCCCACTTGCAACCGCATCTCCTCCATGTCTGGGGTTAGAGCATCCCCAGACCTCGACCCTCCCGCTCAGGGAGCTGGTGGGAAGCTGGTCTGGCAGCAATTCCTCCTCTTCCCAACCCCGATGGCAGCAGGAGCACATCCTGACCCAATGCCTCATTTTGGGAGGCGTTTTTTGGGCCAGCGAGCACCAAAGAGGGGGTAGAACCTGCAGAGCATCCAAAGCCACCCCCGGCTGTGTCGGAGGACCAGCCTTGGCCTGCAAACGGCCCCTGTGGAGAAAGTTATTTCCAGCAAGAAAGTGCTGCAAGCTCTTAATCAGTTCCTTCCCCGGTGATTCACTGCGGAGCCAGGACACTCTCCCCGTGGCCGGTGGACGAGTCGCCCGGGCGCTGCAGCAGCCCCAGGACCGCGGAGCCCTCCCCGCCAGCACGCCCCGGGCTGGAGCGGTGTGTGCCCAGGCTGGAAATCCCCGTGGGAAGGTCCCAAACCGGTTCCCTGAGGAGCGGAGGAATGCTGGTGGCGGGCACTCCCCCCACCCCGTCCCGCTGCCAGCGGTGGGGACTTGGGATGTCACGAGCAGGCGGCAGGATGAGGCTGGAGCCTTCACCCCACAGCGAGCCCCCCACTTCCTCCTCTCCATCCCTCCCGTCCTGCTTCCTCCATCCCTCCCATACTGCCTGCTCCAGACTGGGACCCTTTGTCCCGCTCTGGACCCCCCCATCCAGCCCTGATCACCCCCATGCTCGGGGTCCCCCAGCAGCCGCCCCCCTTCCCATGGGGTGGGCACCCACGGGAGGGGAGCGCTGGCCGGATCCCAGCGCAGGGGAATTGGTGGCTGTCACCCGGGCAGGCTGGGAGCGAGGGAACCGCAGGGTCAGGCTGCGTCCAGCACCCGCGGAGAAAGTCCCTTTCCAGAGTTATCATAACCCAGGGTCTGGCCGTCCTCAACCGCGGGGGCTCCTGGGGGACCTGTCATCCCCCCGGCGCGAGCTGGGGGGTCCCTGGGCATGGATACAGCTCGGCCCCTTGGCTCGGGGTGGGGTTGCCCATGCCAGGCGGTGAGGGGGGACAGAGGACGGGTTGTGGCCCCACATGGGTCACCGGCATGTCCCCAGCCCTCGTGGCTGGGGCTGAGTCATGCCAGGCTCCAGCTCTGCTCCTCCCTCCACAGAGGAATGCGCCTGGAGCTGGAGCCAAAAGCCTTCCCGGGCGGCTGCCCGCCGGCACCCTCCGAGGCTGGGGGGGACAAGGGGGTCAGGAGATGCCACCAGCAGCCCCTCAGCTGCAGCGGTTTTGGGGTGGCAGCAGGAGGCTGCCCACCGTGCAACATCTCCCTGTGCCCACACTCTGGGGGCTGCACTCCTGGGTGCCCAGGGCTCCCCAGAACCCCCAGTATACCCTGAACAAAGGTGCT